GTTGAAAAAGTTGTACAGGTTCGAAGTATATAACAACTCACTCACTGCGTTTATCTGAAATTATGTTAAGTACCGAGTAAATCCTAGATATACCGGGTAAATCTATTTAAAGGAATATGGAAGAAGACGGTTTGCTACGTTCTTCTTGAAATATCAGATTTCCCACCCTCTTTCAAATCTAATTTATAAAGTTCTTTTAACAGATGGTGCTACTAACTGATATTAACTATGAAACAATATTTTCGTAAAAACAACTAATTGCAGCAATAAGGTGGCCATTGGCTGTGAAAAACTAGGAGGCGCAAGAACAATTATTTCTGTTAAAATTATCAAACATGCAACGAAAATAGTTTTAGCATTTTTCTTTTTTAAAGCAAGCTCATCTGTTGAAACTTTTTTAACTAATTTCATAACTTGCTTTTATTTTACATTCTAACAGCCGACCCAATTTATTGGGTTTACGACTACTAATGTTCAACTCCGTAGCCTTGCAATTTTGAACCCAATCCAGAAGACAAGGGAATTCCTGGATCAAGTGTTGGGAGAAATTTGCTTTCGTTGAGGACTTTCTGGTGGAACAAACCCGCATTTGCGTTACACGGAGAGGAAGATCACGAGAACTTCCCACGTTTAGCCTGACGTCAAGGGGACTCTAACCAATGATCCGTCTGCAAAAACTCAGGATATTTCACTTCAGCACTGTGGTCGGTGCAAGACGGATGCGGAATTCTTATCGACCAGTCATCGCCTGGGTCGAACCCCGGTTCACCTCATTGGAAATCAGAATCAAATAAAGCCGTACACTTCTGTATTATTCCATTTTTCTTTAATTTATTTTTTAAAGTGTCGGTTGCTTGTGGAACGCATGATTTATAAAATCCATATCGGCTGAGATTTTTATTTATTTATTTTCTTAATGATGACAACATTTTTATACAACGTTTCAAATCAAAACCTTTTTATTAATTTTAATTTTGCTGGAAATATCTAAATAGCTACATATTTCGAAAAACATATTAATAAATAAATAAATAAAATATTAATTTTAGGAAACAGTAAAAGAGAATCAGAGATGATTCACATGAATGATTTTGTAATGAGTTCTACAACCGATGTTAGAACCAGTTTACTGAAAACTGGCTTAGATCAATAAAATTATGAAGTTAAAATATCAATAATTATATCACTGTTATGAGTGAATTTTCTTTTTAAATTCCATCCCCATATATTAAATTTAAAAACTACTAAACCAATTTTAATTTTTTTTTAGATCAGAAAAAAATTTCAAAAAATAAAATCATTTTCCCTCTTCTCTTAGAGGCATTTTCCGAGCAATACCCTCAAGAAATTTTGCAAATTTAATAACTATATAACATTTTCTATCTTAATAAAATGAAAATAAAATTAAGAAATAAAAATTATTGCATCATCTTTGTTAAACAGTTTTTTCATTGTTAATACGTGTCATAAAGGAAGAGCGAAAACTACTTTGAATAATTTTTCTAAGGTATATTTTTTATTTGAATAATGTATTTAATGTAAATAAAACAATATATTAAAGTACATATGAAATTTTTTAGCTAATGAATATATATATATTATATATAGCGTCGCATATATGGGGGAAAACTCTGGGTATAGTTATTTCAATAAAATGCATAATTATCGCAAAACGGAAATATATATATTTTTTAATTTTATTAAAATGGAATCATATTAAAATCAAAATAATCAAACTTTAAAACTGTCCAATTAAAGTTATTTTTACAATAGAAATTAATGAAGAGATAAAATATATTTTTTCCTTAGAAGAAATCAAAGTGAATAAATCTGTTTACAGTATCATTTTCCACCAAAACAATACATTTTATTCAATTAAAAATTGCTTATTACATTTTAAAATTGCTTATTATATTTAATACACAGACGTATTATTATAAGGCGACACTAATTGACAAGTGAAGTGCTTCTTTGAAGTAGAAAAATACAAAAATAATTTCCCTGAAATGAAAATTGATATTTTTCTGAATTGCATACCAAGAAGAGAAATTCTCTTCCTATATCTGTTATTTTTGCTTAGTATATTTTTTGTTCATTTATTTTCCATTTTTAATTTACGTTTTCTAACAACATCATATTTTCCAAATTTGTCTTTGAAATCCGAGATTTTTCTTTCCCTTTATTTTGTTAAACCATATTTGACAGAGAGATCAAAGACTATTTTGCCTTCCGGGAATTTTTCTTTGAAAAGGTGTACCTGGGAAAAATATTTGAAAGAATTTATAGAAACATAATGATCATTAGTATTTCATGTTTTCTTTGAAATACGTTTTGCGATTATTGAAATAAATATTTTTATATTAATCAAAAAAAATGAAGAATGTTTCTTGGAAAATATATATATTAATGCAATTTAATATATAACCATAAATTATATATATTAATTATTTACTAATAATGCGCATTTACATATCTTTTTCTTATTCATGCTTTAAATAAACTAAAACTGTCTCCGTTGTAATAAAATTTCTGAAAATTTTTCTCCTTAAAAATCTATTAATAGAAAATTAAAGATAATACTCAACTGAACCTGGGATATCTAAAAAAAAATTCAATTCAATACATTCTTAAGATACAGAGGGACTATAATATATAGCTTTTCAACTTTAGTATGTAGCGTACCCTAATTAAAATCTGCTATATTTCCTTTTCCTGTATTTTATGTAAAAAAAAATTAGCTGTTAATTTACTTTCTAGGATTTTTTTCTTTGATTGCTGGAGGAAATTTTGATCTGATTTCAGGAATAAAAATTTAGGATGATCAGCCGTTGACTATTTTATTTTCTTCAACATAAATGTCTTAGAATATTTATATATTTTTTGCGACTAAAATACTATGTAATATTTAAGATTTTTTTATTTAAGGAATTATATAACTTAATGCATGACCATCTTAATTTTAATTAGCCAGAGTGACTCAGAAAATAAACACTCGTCGTCCCATCAGACAACCCAGGTTCAAATCTTGGTGTAGGCGGGACAATTATGACTCAGCTTCTCTCAACGACAACAAAGGTTGCTGGCTCATGGGTATATATATATATATATATATATATATATATATATATATATATATATATATATATATATATATATATATATATATATATATATATATATATATATATATATATATATATATATATATATATATATATATATATATATATATATATATATATATATATATATATATATATATATATATATATATATATATATATATATATATATATATATATATATATATATATATATATATATATATATATATATATATATATATATATATATATATATATATATATATATATATATATATATATATATATATATATATATATATATATATATATATATATATATATATATATATATATATATATATATATATATATATATATATATATATATATATATATATATATATATATATATATATATATATATATATATATATATATATATATATATATATATATATATATATATATATATATATATATATATATATATATATATATATATATATATATATATATATATATATATATATATATATATATATATATATATATATATATATATATATATATATATATATATATATATATATATATATATATATATATATATATATATATATATATATATATATATATATATATATATATATATATATATATATATATATATATATATATATATATATATATATATATATATATATATATATATATATATATATATATATATATATATATATATATATATATATANTCTACATATCTATATATATATATATATGTATATATATCAAAACTCAAAAACTCAAAATTATCATTCTAGCTTTGATGCACAATGAACTATGGTGGAAATTTGATATAAGTGTTCTTTTGTAAACATATACTTAGCAGTAATAATTCTTTCGGAATAAAAATTTCTTTTTCTAATTTATTTAATCATTTACAAGACTTTTCTTAGTTTGTTACTTGTTAGCAATTTAGTTTGCGAAGTGAATTTTAATTACTAACCAAGAATTTGTCATCTCAACAGTGGTAAGACAAAAGTCAGAGATACACTTACAAGCAACAACTTATATGATTATTATTAATAGTGATTGTTATGCATTATATTCTATCACTAGTGTATTAAAGTATCAAAACTTTTGTCCTCATTTGTGCGTAACAGAAATTCATGAGTCAGGACAATTTTTGAGGAAAGAATTACGAGCATTAAAAGTTGAGGATATAAGTTGAGGATTACAAGCATAAAAAGTAAAATCAACACTGCTATAATAAACTTTCTCCATGGTACAGTTTAAGTCTGACATATTAAATAATTTTATTTTTTTCGGGTTGCATTCAGGAATAAAAGATAAATGTTACTATGGAGCTGAATATTGAAAGTATCAATTTGGAAACAATGGAATTGATGCTTAATTTAAATTATAAAATAAAATGCCCAAATTATAAAATTAAATATGTATATTAAACAACAGATGTTGCTTATTATTTTACTATAATCTTTAAGACTTTGATTTTAAATCTATTCTAGTAAAAACTTGCCAAATAATACTTTTTTAATCTTCAGTATATGAACGGTGACAAATTTCACAATAAATTAAGTTAGCTTTCTTAATAAAAGTCGTGAAACTTCTATTTCGGAAAATTTTCATTATGAGAACAATAAATAATAATTCTTTGTGCTTTAAGGAAAACTATGACTAAAACAAATTATCAGTATGTAAATCATTTCCGCGTATAAAGAGTAAAATACGTCTTATCTAAAATAGAAGTCAATATCTCTTGCACATTTTGTTATCTCTTCCATTCTCTTTCTCCCACCTCTAAGTCATTATCGACCTATTCTTTTGCTTGTTTTCCCTCCCCTTTTATTTGTCAGAGGAAGTGTTTAACGACATGATTTTGTTTTGACAGGTTCTCACTGCAGCTGCTGGACCAAGAGCTGTAAGGCCAGCTATTTATGCAAGTTGACCTCGCCTTAATGGCGTAGTGGTGCGGATGGGCACAGCAGTGGTAAACTTAGTCACGCTGATCTGATTTCTCCAACCTAGAGGAAGCTCGGATAGTGACATATAAGTTCTCACACTATATTTATATTAGTCAATATGGCTGTGATTATGAAGCCGAAGAGGAGCTGGCTCTTTACTGTCTTTTTCTTGTGTTTATTGTCAGGAACCAAATCTGAAAGCAGTAACTCGAGCCTAAAGCCAGTAATTGAATGTAGAGAAGGGCTTCTTTTGCCAATATGGCTACCACAGGAGAATTTAAGCAGTGGTGATATGGTCGCTAGAGGAATTGTGTACTTTGTTGCTTTAGTTTACTTGTTCGTAGGTGTTTCTATCGTAGCAGATCGATTTATGGCATCCATCGAAGTTATAACATCGAAAGAGAAGGAAGTAGTGATAAAAAAACCAAATGGCGAAACTCAGAGCATAAGCGTACGAATATGGAACGAAACAGTATCGAATCTCACACTAATGGCATTAGGATCCTCTGCACCCGAAATTCTCCTCTCAATTATTGAAGTTTACTCTCACCATTTTGAAGCTGGTCAACTTGGTCCTGGTACGATTGTTGGAAGCGCTGCTTTCAATATGTTTGTGATTATTGGCATATGTGTGTGGTCTGTACCAACAGCAGAAAACAGACAGATAAAGCATCTGGGCGTATTCTTTGTCACAATGACGTGGAGTGTGTTTGCATACATTTGGCTCTACTTAATTCTTACTTTGTTTTCCCCTGGTGTCATTGACGTTTGGGAAGGCCTCGTTACCTTTATGTTTTTCCCTGCCACCGTGCTCACTGCTTACATTGCTGATAGGCAATTTCTCATTTACAAGTACATGACTAAGAAGTACCGTATGAATAAGCGAAATGTTATTGTTGGTGGTGAAGGCGGTGAAGATATGGAAATGGGGATGGCCAAAACAAACCATGTCCTAGATGGAAATGTTAAAAATTACGAAGAAGAACCTAGTGATGATGTTCGCGAATTTGAAGAACATCGTATGCAGTATATTCAAATTTTAAGAGAATTAAGAAGAAAGCACCCTGATGCCACCATGGAAGATATCGAAATGATGGCTCGTGAAGAAATCTTAGATAGAGGACCTAAAAGTCGAGCTTACTATCGAATTCAAGCAACTAGGAAATTGATGGGTGGAACAAATCTGATGAAACGGAAATTGGAAAAAATTGAAAAGAAAGATGATGACGAAACGAAAGAAGAGCTTCGACAGGTTGTGGCTATTTACTTTGACCCTGGTCATTACACTGTAATGGAAAATGTAGGAGAATTTGCTGTCACTGTAGTTAGAGAAGGTAATTTAAATGAAGCTGTTGCGGTTGAATACCAAACGGAAGATGGCACTGCCAATGCTGGTTCAGATTATGAATATGCAGAAGGTACATTAGTATTTGGTCCTGGAGAGACACACAAGCAATTCTTTATTACTGTAATTGATGATGACGTGTTCGAAGAAGACGAACACTTTTACGTAAGATTGTCAAACCCGCATTACATTATTGAAAAAATGGAGTATAGAATGCCAGTAGAGCTGGCTACACCATTTTTAGCTACAGTAATGATTCTTGATGATGATCATGCCGGAATTTTCCTTTTCCCAGAAAATGAAGTGGAAGTCACGGAATCAACGGGTGAGTACCAACTCAGGGTTAACAGATTTAGTGGAGCAAGGGGACGTGTTATTGTTCCTTTCCGGACTGTTGAAGGTACTGCAAAACCTGGAGTCGAATATGAACATTTAGAAGGAGAATTGGTCTTCGAAAACAACGAAACCACGTAAGTACAAAATTTTTATATTCAAACTGTGTGATTTATATTTAACGTTATTTAAAGAACATTCACATGATGCTTACTAAGTTAACAATCAGATCAAGATGAACAAAAACCATTTTAGAATATGAAATAATATATCCCAATGATTATGAGTACTATCATAACTCAAATAATATTGAATAAATAAACGAAATGCAATTATTAGTGCAGTAAGCGGTAAAGATATGGATATGAGCAAACTAGACAGAAATCACTGAATTAAGGAACTTTTTACTTCATTTTCCCTACTTTTACTTTTTCATTGGTTTAAACTTTAAATTTTCAGATTCAATAATATTTTTAACTAAAAAATACTGTTTTTCTTTTCTTTTTTTACTTTAAAAGAAACAATCTGACCAACTATGGTAAATAGTCTTCAACTAATTACCATAGAAAGCAGCAAAAATTAGTCTTGTATTTACGCTAAACAAATGAAGGTAGGGTATACTTTAAGCTCCTTATGATGAAAGTTACACAACCGCGTTAATACTGAGCAAATAATTGCACAAAACAAACTACAGTTTCGATTCTATTCTAAGTTTGAGCTTTCTTCTGCTGAAATCATTCAACGCTGATCTTTAGCAGCTGACCTTGACCTTTGAGAGGCATTTTACATTTTGATAAACTCTAATAATTCAGTTAATATTCATTCAAATATCCCATTTATTACTAGTGCTTGGAATTCTATTACAATTTAATTTCTATGTCATGTACTCTTAAGGTTCTCCCCCGCCCACACTGCTTATACACTGGGCTTTCTTTTCTCACTTTTCTTTTTATCTCACTTCATTTATTCGAATATCTTTCTCAAACTCGCTCCACTTCCCTTCTATTGGTTAAACCACTGTTTTGTCAGTTGCAACTTGATTGTCTTATGTATTTCTTTTGTCACTCTGTGCTTTGACATTGAGGAAGGTTTTTTTTATAGAACCGAAACTATAGCATGTCTTTTTGTGCCAATATTTGTGCTTTATTCACATTAATTAGCTTTATTTATGATATCAAGTTATATTCGTGTTTACGTCTGTACAATTATTTTTACTTAATCATGCGATTTTTCATTATAAAAAATTTTAAAAAAAGTTATTTTTTATAATTTTTCCACCAAATAATGTATTTTCTTCTAATGAAAAGCTAAAAATCTATCTGATATTAAAGTAAGTTAAAATATTAAAAATAATCGCAAACGCAGAACATTTAAATATCCTAAACCTTTCCATAAATCATTACTTCCAAAATTTTATAATAGTCTGCTCGATTATTTAAATTTATTATTTTCTAAAAATGTTTTTAATAAATCTATCACAAATGTTTTTAATAAAGAATATCATAAGAGCATTTATTCTATACTTTTATATTAAACTACAATAATTGCTTTTAAAGTCACTTTGATCAATGCATATCATAAACTTTGAGCCTCCTCTCTAAAACAGCAAAATTTTCGCTTTTTTGATATTCTATGGCGTCGTAGTTGTTCCGTCACTGACGTATATAAAGATGAATTTTTTATCCGATTAGGACAGTTCAGTTGTTGCATTTATAATCTATAATTTAAATTTCAAAATAATTGTTAGTGTTTCAAGCGCTCAAAAATAGGTGCCCATTATCAAGATTTGCTAGACGTCAATGAAAAAGAAAGTGATTTGAATTATAAAGTAAAAAGTTACAAACGAAAAATGAACTACATTTGTTGACTTTTATTTTATCTGCTTATTTTTTAAGCCAATGAATTTTATTATTCAAGTAATTATTCCCCTTCAGTTTCTTGGGATTATTTATTGGTTATTTTTCACTATAATTTAATATCAAATATAATAGTATATCTTATGAATATAATTCGTGATTAGGTAGCAAATAATGATTTCTTTCTTCTAAAAACATTCTGAGAAACATTTCAATCATTACTGAGATTACTTAGAAATTAAAATCAATCAAAGCTATCAATATATTGCTCGTGAGGCAATTATGTGCTTTATTAAAAATATTTATTTATTATCAGGTTATGATTTATTTTCCTAAAAACTTCATTCGTTTTAGGGATAAGGGTGGTATCACCTGAACTTGATAGTACTGTTTTCTGATTTTGAATTAGACTAACGACCTGCATTTTTTAAACGAGAAAAATTTTATGAAGACTGCCTAATTCTAAGATTTTTCTAAACATGCATTCTATTGCTATTAAACAGACATCTGTTTTAATTTGCTTACAGATACACAAAGTTAATATCTAAATTAGAAATTGAAACATTAAACTGCTCCTGAAGAAAATATGGACGCTATTGAAATTGGATGGGCTTGGGATAATATATAAGCCACTCATTTTTTCAAGACTGATATTTTTTTCACTTTTCGTTAATATTATTTCCAAGTAGATATTTTACACTTTAAATAATTTCCCCTTGATATTAGCTCAATAAACAGAAGTATAGTATGCATGCATGATGTTTTACATCAGAAGCACTTTCCTGTATAATTTAGAAATGAAACTAATCATTATAGTGTCCCAAGATTTTATTTAAATCTGACATGATGACTAATATCAAATTTGTATATACAGATAACCAAAGGGTAAATGTCAGGAGTCTCGGAGTTAATACCCGAATTATTTCTTATAGCAGTTAAGCAAATATTTTGAGAATATTGAAAAATTCCAGGACAGAACACTCATAACAAACTCTAATAATGTGAACCATCGCATTAAGAAGCTTTAATTTATTGAAACTAATGCATAAATACTATGACACGCATAGTTTTAAGAAGTCAAATTAGCCTAATTATTGTAGTCAAATAAAAAAAAAGTTCGATAAAAACATTAACAGGTCACAGTAAATTTTAAAAAATAGCCTACAATACGATTTTTTTCAAATCGTTATAACTAATATAGTGAAACATTTATCAATTTATTATATATATATATATATATATAACTTTGACAAGTAGTTTTCAACAATTTATAATAGAAAAACAGGTAATTAATTTAATAAGTTCATGCACCAAATAAAGGAGACAATGCATACATTTTTCTCCCCAGAGTCCCTAATTTTAGTTCAATCTTTTTCTTAGGTATAGTACTATTATTAGTACTATTTTTATTACTATAAGTACTCTATTTATTGCTATTAATATCTTTAATACTATTAGTAAATCAGTTTAATACTATCTGCAAGCAAAACTAAACACCTCTAAAGAGAAAAACGTTTATTCTTGCACATGATGTGTTGTAAAAATAGTTTTTTTTTGTAGTTTTTTTGTTTATGAATCTAAATTTTCAATATGTGAAATGATTGATAAAACATAAGCCTCCTCTTTTAAGGTTTACATTATAAAGTTCTTCGACTGTGCATCATTTTTAATTAAAAGTCATAACTAACTTCNCATGTATATATATATATATATATGGTAACTTAGCTTTTGGGTTGTGTTTGAGAATTAATTAGAACAAGGTGATGTATGTCCCTCTCATCTCTACAAAGTAATTAATTTATAAAATCATAATATTATAATGATTACCAAATAAACTTTGTGAATATATTTTAAAAAAATCAAAAAACTGCGAAAGCGATTTTAATTTTGTGTCTAAACAAAAACAACCTTGGGTAATTACAAATGAAATTAAAGTAGAGAAATATAAAAATAAAATATTAATAAATATTAATATAGTTAAAAAATATTAATATAGTTTAAAAAGGAAAACGTCATAATTATTATTTTATTAAAAATATATAGGAATTTTTATGATAAGTTTTGTTAAAATCAAAAATCTTGCAATATTTGAATTGAAATTTTTTTTTTCACGTGTTTCATTAAAATCTATCGTGTGTGCTATAAACATTACGCTATATTTTCTTACAAATATAAAGCAAATCAATGTCGCATGTTTCATTAAGGCTTTTCACACGTGCTTTAGACATTAAGATTTCTTTTTTTGCAGATATAAATCAAATCAAACAAAGGGCCAAAAATTCTATGGTGTTTATCAACTGACAAGATCTTTTTCCCAATACAACCACGCGTAATCCAATATTAAAAAATAACATATTTGATATCTTTTCGGGAGAATGACACTTTAAAACGAAAAAAAAGTAATCCGTTCAAGAAAGAAAATATTCTTATCGACAGATAAGAATGAGCAGGCAATTGATTGTTTTATATTTGATCGAATTTAACTTCAAGTGATGTTTGTACAGTCGATAATCAACACAATAGGAAACTCAAAATTCCATTCTTTTTCACGTCATACTTCTAATCATTTCACTCTCTTTTCATTTCGGTAGCTTCGAAAACAAAACAAAATCGAAATATTTCGTAAAACAATTACACACTTTGCTTACAAAGGAGTTACTAAGCAGCTTAACGTGGTAGCTCAAAAGAAAGCCCATTGTATTTGATTATTTTCAAATAACTCTTACTCCTTTTTTTTTTTTATCAAAATAAAGATTTTGAATTTAAGTTTCACTAAAAAAAAGCCCAAAATAATATCAAATTATTTTGCTAAAAGTTTAAGATTTTTATCGGTACATGTAAAAAAGAATAAAAACACCTGCTAGATATAATTTAAATCTTATTTCTTTCCAAATTACTGCGTTAAATATATATACAGTACCGCTCAAAAGTATCAGTACACCTAGAAACTTATAAAAAAATGGCAAAATTCAAAGTGTCATAACTTCTTTAAAAATGATCAAAAATGCTTCTGTTTTAGCTCATTTTGAAGCTTAAAATCTCTAATTTTATGTACTCTAATTGTTTTTAATTAATATATTTTGCAATTATGTACAATTGCATTCTAAACAATCATAGAAAATTGCATTAATTTTTTGTGAAGTTTGACGCGATGTACGGGCACAAAGGGGTTAGATATTGTTAATTTTTATTCTTCTTCTTCTTCATAAGCGCAACAGCCTTTCACAGGCCAAGGCTGACTCGCAGATTTTCCTCCATCTGGCCCTGTCCGGTGCGACGGC